TGACTGAAGTCCATGGGAGTTTTGCCATGGACTTCAATGGCAATAGAAGGTACAATTATTTCACAGAGATTAATTAGTTTTTTCAACATTTTAGGATTTAGTCATGCTCCATCGTCAGCCACATTCTTCATTTCCCACCCTTCTCCCTGCCTAATCTCTAGTTAGCAACATGTGAGTTTCAGGTTGTATAATCCCAAATACTTTCTTTCAAGGGAAAGCAAGTAGTGATTATGTGTATAAGAGGAATTTACAAATTCACTGTGTGGTCACAAATCAAATGACTTTGATTACTTGGGGGTGATACTTTAAACCAGCTTACACCTTGAAGAGACTTTACGTTTTATACATGTGGATATTTAACTTTTGGGATATTAAGTTCCTTTTCACAAACTTTTTTAATATTTTTTCTACTTTAAGTTGTATAGTCAAATTTCTATTTTAATGTCAACATTTTATTCAACAAAATCAAACATGTAAGATTGAGAATCAATTAGCTGTACCATATTTTACTGAATTTGCAACCTTTGTGGTTATGAAAATGGAGATATTAAGGCCTGATGTAACTCAGGCATACCTCTGCTAAAGTCAGTTGCCTTACACCAGTATAAAAGAGAGCTCAGAATCAAGCCTGGAATTCCTGGCAGATTTCTGTGACACCCGGAATTAGGCCCATCGATGAACTGAAAATACTAGAAGAAAAAACAGTCAGGGCACTGAAATTTGTCTTTAAGTGAGCAGCCAAGATCCACAACAATTAGCAGTCCTATTAGGAGAAACCTCGCATATGCTAAAATGATTCTTTGAGAGGAAGGTTGTCTACAGAAGTGGTTCTTAGTGTAGATTTCAGTGTATTTTAAGTATTGAGGGGTTCAGTAAGGTGGAGAGGATAAAACCGCTCTCTTAAAAATGGATACTTTGGGGGTGACTATCCAGCTTTTTGTGTGAACTTGATAGCACATTCCCTTCCCTTCCCTTCATTGTTCTTTGCAAGGATTTTTATAAAGTCCTGTGAAAGCGTCAGTTATCCATTTGTTTGATAACTCTTATTTATTAATGGAGTTAGTCAGGAATATTTTGTCAAAATGGTTTGTTTCAACAGAAAATGCTGTTTTGCAACATTGAAATATTTCAGTAGAAACTTTAGATTTTGCTGAAATTTTTCAGTTTTCCTTTGGGAAAATCAAAGTGAAATGTTTTGCTTTGGGTTGGGTTAACCTGAATTGGAACGTTTCAGTTTGTCAAGCCAAATAGAAAAGTTTAGTTTCAGGTCAATCTATTAACCTGTGTCCATCACAGCTGTTGTGGTACCTCATGTGAGTTGTAGTTTTCATGCCTCAAGTGCCATGTGGAAAAGAGGGGAAGTTCGTGTATTATTTTTATGAATGGTATGTGTGACTCAATTTCTCTGCTTCCTTTTGCATTGTTACACTGTGTTAATTTCTTTCCTGGGACAAAGGATAAGCAATGAAGCAAGCATGTGTTGCATAGGCATATAGAGGGAGGGAGATGAATGGTGTATCAAGAAGTGCCAAGGTATGAATGGAGTTACCTTGGAACTATGCTAGAAGACAACGGGCTGGACCAGAGGGACAAGACACATGAGAACAATGTGACCAGACCTCTCAACCTCCCAGACTCTAAGAAGGCCTCTGTATTATCGCCTACCTTGTATGTGGGGAATTTCCTGGAATGGGGAGCGGTACCTAGAGGAGGACTGCTAGGGCTACCTGGTTGACCCAGCTTAGCTCTTTCCAGCTCAATTTGTTTTATTAAACATACTGTTTTATTTTTGTAAAAAGTACAAGCAGGCACGAGGTTCCCAATGTGTTGTCAACTACTCAGGGAGCAGCCTGGGGAGCCCCAGAAACAAAGAGCAGACAAGAGGAGGAGAGCATTTCCTGTTTCTATCTCCCTTTCCCCATACTTCCCATTACCCCCCTCTTAGCCCTGTTCCCTTCTGTCACTACCTGTCTTCCCATCTCTACCCTGCAGGTTAAAGTTGGCCCATCCACCAGCAGCAAAGTTTCTGCCCAGCAGGAGAGGGCAGGTCTGTCTTCTCACCTGTTTCCTGTGAGGGGCCACTGCAGGACCCCAGGACACCCTTAACAATGGGAGCCAGATTTGTGGGGGAGGGAGAGGTCTGAACATGACTGAAGTGTGAGACAAAGAAATAAGGGGTGAGGGGATTGCAATGAGATCCTGTTTTACCAGGGCAGGGTGGGGGAAATCCAGGACCTTTGGGCAGGGCAGAGAGGTGGTGCTGCACCAGGCACATGCAGTTTTGCTTTACCCTTCTAAGCTGATGTCCCTCAATTTTATATTCCAATTGACTAATAAAATGTCTTGTTCAGTGACAGGCTGTCAACATGTCTGCTGGCTGTAGAGCTCCCATGAGGGTAAGCCTCCTACTGGGCATCCAGCTCCTTTGGCACTTGTGAGAAACACAGGTGCTGAAGCCAGGGACCCACTCTGAGTAGCAGAGCCACAGGGCTACTATGTGCCAAAAGGGCCAAGCACTAAGAAAGGTACACACCGAAAGACACCTGTAAAGGCAGGAGGCATATCACACCCTATGCATCTGTCATGTGAAATCCCATTCTCCTCGCTGGGCTTTTTGGAACTTTTCATTCCACAATACTTGTTGCTATTTTAACGTTTTTGTTCTGATTTGTGATATTCAGATTTTTGACCAACTCTCAGACTGATGTGGTATTTGTAGGCACTTGTTCAGAGAGTGGAAATCTAAACTTCAGTTTTCCCTGCAGTGAGTTTCTTGTATCTTTACATTAAACTTGCAGATGGCTTTAACTTAACAGGCAATACTGTTTGTGTCACAAATAGGAGTAGCAGAGTCCCTAGCCTTACTGTGCACTAGCCAATAAGTGAAAAAGAAAGAAAAAGCACCATTTTGTTCACTTGTTTAGAGAAATGGGGCTAGATATTCAGCTGGTATATAGAAGTATAGCTCCATTGATTTCTGTGGCTCAACACTCATTTACCCCAGGTTAAGTAGGCTGGGACACATTTTATAAAGCAAAGCAGTTTTATAGTAAGACCTCACTATAGTATTTGCTAATTAACTCTTTGCAGAGAAGTGTGGTGTGACAGCAAGGTACGTGGTAAGAAAGGATTTAATAAAGTAAGAAAACCAACTTGTGAGGTTTTAAGTAGTCAGTCTCCTCTAGTCCTTCAAGGTAAAAACCATTTTTTTTAAAGTAAGAAATGTGAGTCATTTAACATGGCATGTGCAAATGACTGACTGACTGACTTTCACATGGTTGCATTTACTAGTATTCTGTTGTACAGCTCCCTATACAATTAAAGTATATTAGTCTCAGGCCATAGTACAGGTTCTTAATGATGTTTATAACTCAGTAAAGAACCCTTCTTAATGTTACCCATTGGTGGCTGAATGTAGGTGATTCTACAAGTTAGCCCCATCTACTCTTAAGAAACATGCAATTTTACATGCAGTGAGTCAGAGGAGAGCAAACAGAATAAGTGCTAGTGTGTAGTTTTATGGCAGCCACACAGTTCTAACATAAAAACACTTCCTTCTGACTTAACTCTAGTGTATTACAGCTAAAGCATTAGCAAATGCTTTAGTGAGCAGAGGTAGGAAATGGACTCAAAGGAGCTCTATGAAAAGACCTACAACAGATAAAGTGCTGTCTAGAAATGTGTATATTTGTAGCAGCATTTTAGACTTCTTCAGAAAAAAAAACCCTATGAAGTATTAATGGCAGGTGCAGTATGTCTAGATCATATGGTGAACTCCATTTGTGTGTGATTGTAACCTCTATGTTGGGTTTAAGAGACCCATATGGTGGTGGTGAAAGCTAATCCATTCTGGACAGTGTTCATGCTAGGATGCTGGATACCATGGAGAAGGCAAACACTGGACATCAATGTTTCCTCCTGGAACACAGAGCTTTGCCTGCCTATATCAAAGCCACTAGGGGGAGGAGTGTGCTAGAGCTGGGACCCTTCCTCCCACCCCAGCTAAAGCATGTTTTTTCAAGTAAGGGATCATTTCCTCACCACTTGTAAGCAGAGACTACTGGGGAAAGTAAAGGCATGTCTGAGTAGTGTCCCAATGGGTGGTCCACTCTAGGGGCTGGTCCACACTACCCGCCTAATTCAGCGGGTAGAGATCGATCTTCTGGGATCGATTTATCGCATCTCATCTGGACACGATAGATCGATCCCAGAAGCGCTCCCCCGTCGACTGCAGAACTCCTGCTCGCCGAGAGGAGGAAGCGCTGTTGACAGGGGAGCCTGCCTGCGCCGCGTGGACCCAAAGTAGGTATTTTTAGTTCGATATAGGAAACGTCGACTTCAGCTACGCTATTCTTGTAGCTGAAGTCGACGTTTCCTATATCGATCCCCCACCCCAGTGTGGACCAAGCCTAGGTGTCTCTGCACTGCCCCTTGGGTCCACATATGCACTGTGCCATGAGGGCTAACTTCTCCTCAGTTCTTCTCTACAGCAGAGTCATAGCGAGAACTCAAGTAGTGGAGGATGCAGAGGGGGATATATCTCAAAGAACCATAGTGAATCACCTTGTGCAGTAATAATTTGCCAACAGATCTCAGCTTAAGTATGAGGGAAATACTATCAAAGAACTATGATCCCCTCACACTGTAATGACATATTTGCAAATGCTGCTTTTAATAGTTACATATCTAAGGCAGGTATGGAAGGTTTTTTTACACAAATATCTGTTTTTGAAGGGGCCTCTGCTACTAAAGATGATGTACTAAAATCCTAATGGCAGAAAATACAATATGGTTTTGATTACAGACTGAATTTATTCTTCCATAAATCTAGCTAAGGAAACAGATAAGCCATTGGGTAAGAATAAGGTTTTTTTTTTTTTAAAACTTTGTTTTTCAATTAGTCCTTTTCCCACCCATGGTAGGATTTTATTAAGAGGTAGGCAAGTTCTTTATCCATGTACCTGCACAGATGGCTTTGCAAAGTTAACACTTACATGAAATGACAATCAGCAAAATATTTTATTTCTTGCACAAACATTTTGAAAAAGCCAGTAAGTGAATATGCATGATAAGTAATACAAAACAGCTTGTGATTAACCAGCTATAGAGTTGCTCATCAAAAAAAAAAAATCTTTGGGTATGTTTGTCCTCTAGAGATATAAGCAACACCAATGCTTTACTTTAAACTTGCACATATTGCCTGCTCCAAAGACAGATTTAAATTAGTAGTGGGAACACCTTAGTTGTACTCGGAGGATGCAGTACAGTTCTACCGAAGCTCAAGTTTCAGACTGTAAGAAGCACACCTTGACAAATCTCCCAGCAGCAAGGCTACTAAACGTAAAGAAACCTAGAATGAATAATAGTATTATCTTTAATCTTTTCCACCTGTTAAGTGCAGAACACAAGGCTGTACATAGGCACAAAAAGAGGTCCTGCAAATTACAAAGATACATATTACTATGAGGTTATAGTATCAATATTACTTACTCTTTCAGCCAACAGTTTTAGCAACTCCAACAAGATTTTATATTTTTGACAACTTATAGGTAGGACAGCTTCCATCTCAATTGCTGGAAAGTAAAAAATTCTGTATGGAAACATCCACAGTTTAGGTACAAGCTGTTTAAGACCTAGGTACAATCAGCCCAGCACTTTTGGATTTGGTTAGACAGATGAAGTTGCTGCCAGACAAGTTCGATTCTACACATCCTTTTTGGGCAAAATTCTCAATGGAGTTTTACTTGAGCACTGTATGCAGGGTAGAGCCCCCTGCTTAGTAACTTATCAGAGAAATAAATGTACAAAAAGAGAGACTAATATTTAAATGAGTTACTTTAAATTGAGTAGTTTTTGCTAGTGGGATTTTAGTACACCTAGAGATTTGCAAGTGAAATCCCAGCAGGAGCAGTTCTGAAAAATAGTCAAGTCTACAGAGTTTCTACACCCCCCCACTCGTCTAGCACCTTCAGCTCTTTAAATAAAAATAACTGCTTCAACATTCTATATTCAAAAGCCCCTGCCTTCAGGAATTAATCTCAGGTCCTTGGGAGGGGAATGGCTAGTGAAGGTGATCAGCTGGAAAAGATTTGCTTTAAGTGAGGTCAGTCCAAAATACAACTGGAAATTATGTTCCTAGTATGTGTATTTATGTTTGACATCTTACAACATATCTGTCATAACCAGTAAACCACCAGATTTCACCTCTGCAAGGTGAGTGTGTAAGAGGCAGCCACTGTTGACCAGCCTACTGTAAAACCTTTGAGATCATTAAGATTTGGCAATAGTAAGGTAAATAAAAGGTGTACTTCCCATACATGGCCGTAGTTCATACCACGTATGCTATCCAATATACACAGTGTTGGGAAGTAACTAGTTACCACTGTGGTTACAGTGCTAAGCACTGTAACGGACCTCTTCATTCCCCTAAAAATTATGCTTTGCTGCTGAAAATTGACATTGAATTGTAGTCAATGAGTCTCTCTGAAGAATGTGTTAAGGAAAGCATCATACATCAGTACCCACCTGCAGCCTGGTTAAATTGTTTGTTTTTAGTGTTGTGCCAAAATTTGGCACAACACTAAAAACGGTCAAAATTAAAATTTGAGTCTAAAATGGATGGCTTGTCTTCCAAACTCATTAAGAAATCTAAGTGATTATAATCTAAATGTAGCTTCCCAGCACTGTACACCAGCCACCTGTGTGTGTACTTTGTCTTGTTCCCTGTTAACTAGATGCTTTTCCTTACATCAGCTTTCTTTCCGCACTACAGCACAGCTAACTCTTCTTTAGTAGGCGAATCTCATGTCCTTGGTGTATCCCAGTTTGTCCAGGTTAGGTAAGCAAGCATACTGGATCATTGGAGGAGGGCCGCACATGAGGATCAGAACATCATCTTGAGGAGGGGGCATGTGTTCTCTGAGCAGGTCTTGACTCACAAATCCCTGGCTATAATCCCAATCTGAATGGAGAGGGGGAAAAAGGTATTTTATTAACAGGCTTTATAACAACACTCACCCTTATTTATTATGGGCCAACCAAGAACAGGGCTCCACTGTGCTAGGAACTTAGACACAGAATAAGAGAATATTTCAGCACCGTGACAGTATTAATACAATGTAAGAGTGTGAGGATAAAATCCTCATATTAAAGATGGGGAACTGAAATAGAGGAAGTGATTTACTAAAAGTGGAAGTTTTTGGCAGAGTTGTAAACAGATCCCAAGTTTCCCCTATCACAGTTTAGTACCACATGACCTTCCTTCTTAATTCATTGTTTAAGAAAACACAGGTATTTAGTGTGTTAACCCTTTCATAGAGGGATTCAGGGTTCCCCAACTTGCTGCTGGCACTGAACACACAAAACTGCTGACCCCAAAAAGGGGAATGAGATTGCCTCTTTGTTCTCCCATATTAACCAACACATTTAATCCTCAATTCTTGTGTCAATAACGCTCTTTTTTTCCTTTCTTTCTTCAGAATATACTGAAACTAGAGTCAGGAGAGTAGGGGGGGGGGGGACTTGTTCATGTTTGCTGCCAAAGCCAAAGATGAGGACTACACACTAGCATTCTCCTGACCAGTTGCATAGCTTCGGATGCACTAGCTACCAACCTCCTTCCTACAGAAGTCACCATGTCAGCTCTGAAGGCATCTAGTTGCCTTAACAGGGGATGAAAAAGTTAGAGAGGATTCCAGAATTGTAATCATCAGCACTAGTAATCTGGTGCATTGACAGGGGTGGCATATTAGTTCTTACTCTCAGGTGCTCTGTCCAACGTGTACCAAAGCTTAAAGCGTTCTGGATGCTGAACCTGAACTTCCTCCAGTTCTGAACGTAACAGGATATCTTTCTCAGTCTGCAAGGAAAGGAAAGGAGTTATACTTTCAATAGAGTCCTTCATCCAGTCTCTTAACTGTAACAAATTAAGCCTCACAAAACTCCTGTGCAGTAGCTATCATCTCAATATCAGAGAGAGAGACACACAAAGTTTAAGATAACTCAATGAGATAGAGGCAGAGTCCAAAACAGACCCTAAATTTCCCAGCTTCTTGATCTTTGACAACCACACCTTGTCTCATGGAAAAGAATAAAAATATATTTAGATTTTTTTTTTTAAATGACAAAACCACTCCCCACTACATGGTTATTAGATGCAGCACCACAAAACTGAAATACTGTATTAACAGTCTTCAGTATCAATTCAGCTTTCAAAAAACCTGGGAAATTACTGCACAACATCACTATAGTATAAATAATGCTTATAGACTCTGAGGGTAGTTTTTCCATCTCCTTTTCAGTCTCACATTATGAAGCGGTGCTAGTCCCTTCATACTCTACCCAGCCACACAGCAATTTGGCACCAATGACAGTAATATATTGGGGACTGTGGAGGGAGTTTATCAGCACCTGTTGCTGAGAAGGCACCTATTTCTGGATCTAACGTGAAACTGCATCTGTTACAAGAAAGCTATTTCTGGATCTGACTAATAAAAGCAGGCATCTGAATTGGACGATAGAAGACATTTTCAATGATCTAAAAGGGGCTAACAGCATGCAGTGAGATTAGCAGTAAGTATTAAATATGAATGTGTAGAACACCATGAGGACATAGAAATAATACAAGAGGGTCTACAGTGTTTACAAATATGTGTAGGAAATAAAATGAGATTCTACCTGGGATAATACAAGATATAGACACACTCCTAAACACAGATTAACTGTGAGGGAGAAATCTGGAAAGCAGCAAAAATTAAGGACATTTTACAGGTGACAGCAGACAGAGGAGCTAGGAGTTTGCAACTCAGTGTTACGTTACAATGTGATTTTTGGTTGTGCACAAACAAGAACAGGGAGACAGCAGGCCCTCTGTACACAGTTTTGTTAAGACTATACCTGGAATACAGGGTACCCCAAACTAGAAATATATTGACAGGCTGGAGAGAGTTCAAAGAAGAGCAACAAAAGTGATTAAGGGTGTGAAGGGCTGAGTACACAGGTAGAGGGGGAAAAAAATCCAAAGGAGCCAGTTATGAAGCACTTAGTGTATGAACTATCCTTAGAATGAGACATTTTATCCTTTAATTGGCTAAATAATGACCAGGCAAGGACTTTTTTTCAAGGGTGTAAAAACCAGGAATGGAGAGGCATTTGGAGTGGTAAAATACTGGGACGGAACAGAAGCGGGAAAATTTAGGCTTAACATCAGAAAAACTTCTAAGCAGTCAGATGCATTAGTCTATGGGATCCGCTTCCAAGGGAAATGGGACATCCCTTGGCACATTCAAGTCTAGGCTAGACATAATTCTGATAAATGTACAATAAGGTCAATCCTGTATTGGCAGAGAAGAACTAGATGACCCAACAGGTCTTTTCCATTACCAACTTCTACTACTATCATTTCTACAACATTATCTATGATTAAAATAAACTTCAGTGGATACAAGATAAAGTTAAAGCACTGAGGATAGTCTGTAGCATCATACATGGTCAACCCACACATCTGCTTTTGTTTGGGTTAGTGTAACTTGATACAATGTACTTAGATATTTATGCCCAGATTTTCAGAAATACTCAGCACCTACCAACTCCTTCTGAAAACAACTGGAGTGAGCCCTTTAAAAAAAAAAAAAAAATCTGGCTACTTTATTTAGGTGCCTATAATATGCCCTTTTGAGAATCTTGCCCTTCATACATTTTGGTACGCGTGGCAGAATGTTATCTGGGTAAGAGTGGCTGGTTTGGTTTAAGAGACAAGTTGTTCATTACCATTGGATGGTGTTTGCTACGCCATTTAATTAGGGGATATTTGATTACTAGAACCAAATGGGACTAAGACTTCCTGTCAACTTACATCCCTACCCCTCAAACTGTGGACAGAGATTTGTATTCAAATTAAGCCATCACGCTGGACAACATCTACCTCTGTTTCTCCTCTTTTGTATGCCTAATGCTTAGCTCAGCTAGATCATGAAATTTGTAAACAAGGGTTTCCTGTTTTAAAATTGAGAATATTTACCAGCTCTATTACAACCATATTAAGTTTCACTGTATCGATCCTTCATTGGAGTTTTGAAAAGAAAGACAGCATGTAGTGGCATAATACTGCAACTTTTCAGAGAAGTTGAAATCTGAAAACGGGGCCTGAGTAGAATATGGCCCCCGACAGATCAGAAAATATCTTTCTGCAGTGCTGGTTCTACAACAAGTAAGCTGCTATTTCTAATTGCATGGCGCACTCTCCCCCATTTTGCAGTTATCGCCTGTTGGGGACAATTAAGTTTAGGTCATATACTGCAACTGTGTTCAGAAATAGTCAGATTAATACTTCCCTACGCAAACCTGGTTCTGTGCCCTGGGGGTATTAATCTTGAAGGAGAGCAAATGATGATGGGGCAGCTTTAAAATTCTGACAAGGGCTCCCCCCCTCAAAAAATAAAAGTGCTAAGCACTTCCAGGAAACATACAGAAGAAAGAATTCCTGTCTCAAAACACTTACAGTCTGGATAAGGAACATAACAAGAGGACATAGGAAAAAGCAGAGGGGTTAGATGTCAGGGCAAAAGTTACCAGGCAGTAATGTACAGAATAGTGTGCTTATTGCAATGGCCTCACATGTGGCTGTTTTTATAGTTTCTGTTCATTTTTAGCTTAGGGTTTTATGATACTGAATTGTACCTGTGTTCTGTGCTGTCTCAGGAGAGGTTTGCATATACCTGGGTTTTGTTTTTTTAAACTTAAGGACAATTTTAATGCCTTGCCACAAGAAGAAAAGAAGAGTTACCTGATTAGCAAACAGCAGCTGACAAATGGTGGGATCATCTTTGTCCTTCATGATGGCACGAATGAGCTGCAGCATAGGCGTTATGCCTGAAAAAAAACTGCAATTAAAACTGGCCACCAGCAATACATCTAATAGCCTGGCAGAAACAAGGTGCACAAAGAATGAAACTTCATTCTTACATACCAGTTCCACCTGCAATCATTCCAACATATTTCACTGTTTTAAGAACAGGTTCAGATTTCTTCTCAGCGCGAATAGCAAACGTGCCTGGAAAAAAGGAGTTAAGACAAATATTAGGGAGTACTCGTGAACGCTAATTTAGACAGAGGACTGGGATCACAAATCCTGAGTTCTAATTCTGATTTATAGTGACCGTCTCAAACCCTAGGCAATCACCTCTCCACTCATTTTCCCATCTGGAAAATGGGGATGTGTCACCTTTTCCTCTCATAAGGCTATTGTGAGGACAAACAGATATGTTTAAAAAGTGCTAACTATTTTAAAAGATGTCAAAAATGAACGCTGCTAATGTATTATAATTAGACAGGATTTTTTGACTCGTTACTCAACATCAAGCTATCATGATTTGCATTTCAGTAATGTCTAGTGGCCCTGGTCAAGGAGCAGGAGCCCAGTCTGACAAGGACCATCCTCCACCTCCCGACAAGATCAACCTGCCCTCAAGAGCTCACAATCCATTCTCTGTATGTAATGACTATTTCTAAGAGACATCTCAATTGTGTGGGGAAGAAACCTGGCTAAAATTAAGTATCTAAACACTAATACAAATCCAGTCCATCAGCAATTATTACACAAAGACCACGCCAGTGGGTGGTGTCGAATAAGGTCATGACCAGGTTTTAAAAGAACCCATGCACAGGTCTCTATGGGCTTCTCTTCACTGTGTTGTGTTTGGTTTGGTTTTTTTTAAAACCTAGAGTTAATTGATTCCTAATGGCTAGTGTGGACACACCACAAAGATTTGACAGAGGCTACAAACATTTCTGCTTTATCCTAGGAATCAGCCCTAGCTTGGGATAAAGCCCATTTCTTAACCATGACGTTACATGTTCCTGCCTCATTCATAGAGGCCTGGACAAAGTAACCAAATTTAACCATTGTTAACTGTCATGCAGATGGGATCCTAACAGCTACTGGTTCTTTTGCTAGGAATTGAGTAGAAGTCGGTCAGGCCTGGTCTACACACAGTTTTTGTATCAGTATAACTATGCCAGTTAGGTGTGCTATTTTTTGCCAATATAGTACAATCCCTGCTGTGGGTACAATTATGGTATGTAAAAGTTGCTTTATCCTGGAGTAGCTTATACCAGGCTTACACGAGAAACTTCTGCCAGTATAGCAATGCTGGTTAGGGCTGTGATTTTGGGGCAACATTTCTATGCCAGCAAAAGCCTTAGTGAAACACAGTCATAGTGGCATGAATGTACTTTTGCTGCTATAGTTTATTTCTCTCAGGGAAACACACAAGTTCTACCAGCAAACTCACTCTTGGGAATAGAACTGTGTCTGTACTATCAGCAAACCTCTGTAATGTAGGTAAGATGTGTAGGAAAGGCCACAACCTCTATGGGAAAAAAAGTTAGTAATCACTACTCCTACATTACAATGCATCACAATTACATAAGATTTTCTGTGCTTGTTATTCTGGACACAATATTTCCAAAATCAATCTTGCCTTTTCCCTTGTAGACAAGTAATCCACTGGGCCCTCTGAAGTCAATGGTATCCCCTAATTTCAGGCTGTCTAAATACTGAGACATCTTTCCTCCTTCGGGGAACTTTGGGTGGACCCCTTTAAAATAAATCTGTTAAAAATAAAGATTAAAAGGAACTGTTTCATTAAAAGAGTTAAAACCAAAGACAAGTTTTTGCCTTAATTTTCTGTAATACACAAATTCATATGCCCAAACTCAATAAGCAATGAGACATGGCTGTCAGACAAGCTAAAACAGAGATCTGAGAATCCAAAACACAGACAGTTCTATTTTAAAGCCAGTTCAACAGGTGAAAATTGTCCTAGGACAGCTTTGTTACACAGGGACAGCCTCAAGATCTGTTAACCTTGGGCCCAATTCTGAGGTACCAAGAGCCTGCAGCTTCCAAGTTAAGGCAATGAGAGTAGCGGGTGTTAAGTACTTCAAGATCAGACCCCTTACCAATAGAGCTATGGGCTTGTCTACATAGGAAAGATATACCAGTATTTACAAGTATAAGCTAAGGTGTGAATTTAAACAAATATAGTTGTACTGGTGTAATTCCCTTCCCCAGCCACACGCATACACACTCCTGTATAAGAGGACCTTGTCACTTGAGAAAGGGTTTAAGCTAAGCCAAAAAAGCCCTTCTTATACCAGAATAAAAGCAAGGGTCATAATGGTATAACTGATAGAATTTTCCCATGTAGACAAGACCTATGAGTAACATTCCCCTTAGCCATTTATTCAATATTAGAAGACAAGCCTAGGAATGGCAAAGGGGTAACAAACGAGACAAAATGGGAATAAAATCAGAAAGGCTAAAGCACAAAGTGAGTTACACCTAGCAAGGGACATAAAAGAATGTAAGAAGAGGTTCTTTAAATATACCTCTACCCCAATAGAACGCAACCTGATATAACACGAATTCGGATATAACGTGGTAAAGCAGCGCTCCGGGGGGGGCGCGGCTGCGCACTCCGGTGGATCAAAGCAAGTTCGATATAACGCGGTTTCACCTATAACGCGGTAAGATTTTTTGGCTCCTGAGGACGCGTTATATCGGGGTAGAGGTGTACATTAGAAACAAGAGGATGACACAGAAAAGTGTAAGTCCATTACTTAACGGGGAAGGAAGAGCTAATAACTGATGACCTGAGGAAGGCTGATGTGTTTAATACCTATTTTGCTTCAGTCTTCACTAAAAAGGTTAATGGTGACCAGATTCTCAACACAATTAATGTTAACAAGGGGAAGGAGTGCAAGCCAAAACAGGGGAAAGAATATTTAGATAAATTAGATGTATTCAAGTTGGCAGGGCCTATTGAAATTCATCCTAATGTACTTTAGGAACTAGCAGATGTAATCTCAAAACCGTTAGCAATTATCTTTGAGAACTCACTGAGGAGAGGGGAGGTCCCTGAGGACTGAAGGGCAAACACATTACCTATTTAAAATAAGGGGAACAAAGAGGACCTGAAGAATTATAGACTAGTCAGCCTAACTTCAAAACCTGTCAAGATACTAGAACAAATTATTAAACAATGAATATGTAAGCACCTAAACAATAATAGTGTTAAGAAATAGTCAATATGGATTAGTCAAAGACAAATCATGCCATGCCAAGCCTTCTTTGGCAAGGTTACTGGCCCAGTAGATAGGAGGGAAGCTGTATCTCTTGATTTTACTCAGGTTTTTGACACAGTTCCAGATGACAGTCTCATAAGCAAACTAGGGAAATGTTGTCTAGATGAAATTAATAAGGTGGGTGCATAAATAGTTGAAAGTTCAGATTAGTTATCAATGGTTGTAGGGATATTAAAGAAGGTACTAACAGTGATTCCCCCAAGTGACAGTGACCCCCCAATAATTTGTCCCCCACACTTTAAAATCCAACAGTTTCACCAAGTACAAAAATCTCTTGGGTCTTCTGTTAAAACTTGTAAGCTACTGTCTGTAGAAACCATTGATTACATCTATCCTGTGAAAGATACTTTTTTATTATGTAAAACTTACAAACAAGTTAATTGACTTTGTTCTTGAAGTAATTAATACAATGTAAACAAACACTATAAGCTGTTAAGTGACTTTCACTTCATTCAATGGCTCCTAGGGCAGACCCCCACCCTCTGTGATTAAAGGGCCGGGAGTCTCAAATGACTTAGCACACACCCCAAAAGTGGTGGAAACAGTAAATTAAAATATGGTTAAAATATAAAATGTATGTTGATGAATGCTTGATGTATATAAATGGTTAGGGAGGTGCCAGCCTAGAAAGGGAGTATCCATCGGCCGAAGAATGTGTCAAGTAGGACCACCAGACAACCCCGAGGGTAAACTGGGATCCACCCCATCACCTAAAAGGATGAGAAACACAAACTTTGGACAGTGTGAAGCCACCAGGAATGTGCCACTTTGAACAGGAATGTGCCATCTGCTGATTGAGTCAGCAACAGCAGGATGAAACAGTTCCCATAGACTAACATAGGAATTAATTCCTATAAGAATGGACTCTAAAGACTGATGACTTTGAGTCTCTGGTTCTGCTGCCAGCCTCCAGGAGCATCAGGTGCACCTGACACAGACTCGGCTCCATCCTCATGACCAAGATACCTGGCCAGTAACTTGGCATGAGCAACTTCTAGGCTGGTAACTATAACACCTATACAGAACTTAAATGAATGATTGTGTGAGTGAATGAATCTCTCTCTCTGTGTGTGTGTGTGTGTGTGTGTGTATGTATAAGAAATAAGTAGTCAAACAACGTTGTTTACTTTTATCTTTTGCTTTATCAGTATATTTACAATAAATGTGGCATCTTTGCCTTATCCCTCTTAATAAGATCCTGCTGGTTTTTATTCTATAGGTATAACATGGTTCACTGTCAAACTGGGAGGGAGTATCTAGTGGGGTCCCACAGGTGTCAGTCCTAGATCTGGTACTAGTCAATATTTTCATTAATTAATTGGATTATGGAGTATAGAGTATGCTTATAAACTCTGCAAATGACACCAAGCTGGAAGGGGTTGCAAACATTTTGGAGGACAGAATTAGAATTCAAAATGACCTTGACAAATCGGAGACTTGGTCTGAAATCAACAAGATGAAATTCACTAAAGACAAGTGCAAAGTACTTCACTTATAAAGGAAAAAATCCAATGCACAACTTCAAAATGGGGGCTAACTGGTAGTACTGCTGAAAAGGATCTGGGGTTTATAGTGGATCACAAATTGGATGAGTCAACAATGTGATACAGTTATGGAAAAGGCTAATATGGGGTGTACTAACAGGGATGTTAGATAGAAGAAATGGAAATAATTGTCCCACTCTACTTAGCACTGGTGAGGCTTCAGCTGGAATATTGCATCCAATTCTGGGTGCCACACTTTAGGAAAGATGTAGACAAACTGGAGAGAGTCCAGAGGACTCCAGAGCAACAAAAATGATAAAAGGTTTAGAAAACCTGACCTATGAGGAAAGGTTAAAAAAAATGGGCATGTTTAATCTTGAGAAAAGAAGACTGAGGAGGGACCTGATAACAGTCTTGAAATATATTAAGGGCTGTTATAAAGAGGACTATGATAAACTGTTCTCCATGTCCAGTGAAGGTAGGACAAGACATAACAGGCTTAATCTGAAGCCAAGGAGATATAGGTAAACTAGTGGGATGGGGGGGGAACTTTTTAACTATAAGGGTAGTTAAGCTGTGGGATAAGGTTCCAAGGGAGGTTATAGAATTCCCATCACTGGAGGTTTTTAAGAACAGGTTGAACAAACATCTGTCAAGGATAGTCTAGATCTGTGGTTCTCAACCAGGGGTACGCGTACTCCTGGGGGTACGCAGAGGTCTTCCTGCGGGTACATCGACTCATCTAGGTTATTTGCCTAGTTTTACAACAGGCTAAATAAAAAGTAGTAGCAAAGCCAGTACAAACTAAAATTTCAGACAATGACTTGTTTAGACTGCTCTATATACTATACACTGAAATGTAAGTACAATATTTATATTCCAACTGATTTATAATTATATGGTAAAAAATGAGAAAGTCAGCATTTTTTTAGTAATAAAAATACAAAAGTGTCACAGAACACTATGTCTGATTTTGTAAGCAAGTAGTTTTTAAGTGATCTGAAACTTGGGGGTATGCAAGACAAATCAGACTCCTGAAAGGGATACAGCTGTCTGGAAAGGTTGAGAGCCACTTGTCTAGATTTCCTTGGTCCTGCCTCAGCGCAAGGGGCTGGACTGGACTTCAAGGCCCCTTCTGGCCCTACATTTCTACGATTCGCTTGATAAAACATATCACCATGTGAGAATGAAACACATAATAGGAAATGAAACTCTGAAGAGAGGCAGCAAAGTAATGTAGTAATTTAACACTAAATTCTATCAGCTTTAGAAATATTTACTGAATACCTCAACTTGGCTATTGAGAGGGGAAAATTCAGAACATTAGATGATCCCAACTTACCTATATGGATTAAATCTATATTGATTTGCATGCTGAGGTAATGCTGAATGGAAGCCATCAAGCCACAGTAGAGTTAGACATCACGGAATCACACAAGTATTTTTACACCACCATGCTTTTTACTATAACCTTTAAAGGCTTATAAATAGGCAAGTATTGTTTGGCACAATGATATCCTTACCTTGACAACAAGATCCACATAGCCTTTGTCGTCATCACTGGAGACTGGTGTGTAGGGTCTGATAACCAGATTTCCATTAATCCGTGCAGAAAGATAAATATGCTGTCCTACAAGCAGCAGAAGGAAGAGTAGGTTTATTTTTGAGGGCCTATTCTGAGCAAATTCTCTTTCGCTACGGCTGACAATGACTTGGTGGAAAAGCCAGACTGGGTCCTAAGGTTCTCTTTACCCCTTTGGTCCAGAACAAACAATTTTTCCCTTGCTCTCCTGTATTTCCCTACCACCTTGCTAGATTTCTTCCTCCAGTGTGCATGAAATCCAGCTGAACCGGCTAAGTGTTCAGCTACACCAGCCTTAGAGAGCAGTTCTCCAACCCGGAGCTCAATCACGTTTGTTATTTACTGTAGCAGCCATACGCATAAGTTTCGATATTAACTACACACATACACAGACGTGTAAAAGGATGTTCAAGGATGACTCGCACATTCGAGTGTGATTAGCACCTCATTAACACACGTGTCAGTTACACATAACTGAACACAAATGGCTGACATCCAAAAGGCATACTATAAAGATGTCCTAGGAACTCCATATTTAAGGCTGCATTTTGAAGTGCATTTAGAGCAGGACTTTTTTTTTTATTTCATTTTACTTTGCAACTGGAATGAATCAGATGACGTCACAGGGGAAGATACAATAACATCAGTAGCTTTTAAAATGTTTAAAGTAGTTCTTGCAGCCCATACTGCTTCATAGGTCTGTGACCGGTATAATTAACTAAGCTTTGATTCATGATGATAAAACCAGGGTGCCAATAGAAAACATACCAATAGGGAGACCTAGAATGTGCTCTCGAGTTGGAAGGGCAAAGCGAAATCTTCTCGTGTCGTGGCTAACTTCCTGAAATGGGAAAAAAACAAAACCATCACACACACCATTGGAAATACTTTGTATTTTGTTGGGTGATTTTTTTGTTTTGTTTTTAATAGACATGTCAGTCAGGCTGTTTCTAAAAGTTAGTTTCACCCTAATCCACAGATATGTAACAAACTGTTTCAGCACTATGTATTATGCTATAAAATAAGAAGTCTATTTAGCACTGTTTCACTGCTGTATCAAAAGTATACTTTCCACTCAAATTCCTTGAAAGCCTTTCTATTTTCAAGAAATAAGAAATAACACTGATATTTCAATATATGAGGTCAAAAACTAACAATAAATACCTAAGACAAATGCAACAACAACAAAAAAATGGAGAGAAACATTTCAGATTTAACAAAGATCAATAAAAACTAGTTATTTGCAATTTAGTATATAGGCAATAACTTTATAATGCTCTGCACTTGTACAGAACTCCATCCAAAGATCTCAATGAGGAGCTAACCAGTTCCTTCATTTGTAGTTTAAATTTAGACAAAAGACAAAAAAGAGGAAGTTCAGAAGTTTCAGAAGCCAGAAGCTTCAGAAACAGTTCTCCAACAAAAGACTTACTTTGGGCTATGTTGTAAATCAGATGAATTAGTTATTCTAATTTAGTTTTGGAGCAGAATACTGGAAATGACACTGGTGGGTATAAGAGGGGATTAACAACTATCAAGTTGGTCTCCTTTGTTACATTAGTGGCTTTAAAATTTTATATATAAAGTTTCCTTAATTATAATGGGAAAGAACACACACTGCAGATTAGAGCCCTGCTATAAAACTTGGGACCTTATTACTGATTTCAAAATCATTTATCCCCAAATAAATCAAAGCGATTTATTTCTCAAATGTTATGATCATAACTCTTTAAACAGTATAAGTCGTGATCATTGGACCAAAGTGACACTTCAGTTTAGATAAAAATATTAAGTGATATGTAGTGTATTTGGATGGGGAGAATGAACAAGCACTAATGAGACATTGTTTCATTTTCCCCTTTCCACTCCACCTTATACGCTTTTTGTTTCATTATAGCATACTTAGGGTCTGAACTCTAGTGCTATTGATTACTTTGCAGCCCTTAGATCAGGGGTGGGCAAACTACGGCCCATGGGCCGCATCCGGCCCGTCAACCATTTTAAGCCGGCTCTTGAGCTCCTGCTAGGGAGTGGGGTCTGGGTCTTGCTGCGCTCCAGCCCGGGACCAGGGTCGTGGGCCGCTCCACGCGGCTCCCGGAAACTGCGGCATGGCTCCCCTCCGGCACTTCAATGGGAGCTGCAGGGGCGGTGCCTGCGGACGGGGCAGCGTGCAGAGCCAACTGGCTGCGCCTCCATATAGGAGCTGGAGAAGGGACATGCCGCTGCTTCCAGGAGCTGCTTGAGGTAAGCGCCGCTCAAAGCCTGCACCCCTGAGCCTCGCCCCATGCCCCCAACCCCCTGCCCCAACCCTGATTCCCCTCCCACCCGCCAAACCCCTCGATCCCAGCCTGGAGCACCCTCCTGCACCCCAAACCCCTCATCCCCAGACCCACTCCACCCTCTCCTGCCCCAGCCCAGAGCCCCCTCCTGCACCCTGAACTCCTCATTTCTGGCCCCACCCTGGAGCCCGCACCCCCAACCAGAGCCTTCACCCCAACCCCAATTTTGTGAGCATTCATGGGCCACCATACAATTTCTATTCCCAGATGTGGCCCTCGGGCCAAAAGTTTGCCCACTCCTGCCTTAGATAAACAAATACTTAGCTCTTCTGTAAAGCATTACATATGAAAGCTCTGCGGAGGTGGGTAGGTATAATTTCCCCCATTTATAGATGAGGAAATTGAAGCACAGCGCTGTTAAGCGAATTGCCCAGGGGCACACAGCAAGACAGTGACAGAGCAGAAAAGAGAAGCCAGGTCTCCCAGTCCAATGCCTCATCCATTGTACTATACACCTCTACCCCAATATAATGCTGTCCTCAGGAGCCCCAAAAAAAAAAAAATCTTACCACGTTATAGGTGAAATCGCGTTATATCAAACTTGCTTTGATCCACCAGAGTGCGCAGCCCTGCCCCGCCCCCCCCCCCGAGCACTGCTTTACCGCGTTATATCCAAAATCGTGTTATACCAGGGTAGAGGTGTATTACATCTTATTATAAAAGATCCCTATAAAATGTAATAGAACATTCTATCCCTTATATACAATGGTTAAATACCCATAGAAGTGATAGCTATTAAATTAGATAAGATTGTAGAATAGTTGCTACAAATAGGTTTCATTCCTATTAAACTCTATAGGACTTTTCCCTAAGGGTTCAATTCAAATCAATTGGATTACTGTTGTTACTAAGGATTTTAGAATCAGACTCTTAGGCTACGTCTACACTACAGACCTTACAGCAGTACCACTGCAGCTGCACTGCTGTAAGGTCTCTCGTGTAGCTGCTCTACGCCAACAGGACAGAGCTCTCCCGTCAGCATAATTAAACCACCCCCCCCAACGAGCCGCTGTAGTTATGTCTGCAGGAGAGCGTCTCCCGCCAACATAGTGCTGTCCACACCGGCACTTTTGTTGGTGAAATTTATGTCAGACAGGGGTGAGTTTTTTCACACCTCTGACTGACAAAAGTGCTAGTGTAGACATAGCCTATGGGCTTGTCTAAACAAACACTTAGTTCACTGCAAGCTGGGGTGTAAATCTACCGCGCACTAACCTGCCACACAGTAAGTGTCCATGTGGCCCCTGCTGCCGCACACTGAAAGTTCTGTAATACTCTACAAAGTGAGGCCATGTCTACACTGTGGGCACTACAGTGGCAGAGCTATGGTGCCGCAGCTATGCTATTGTAATATAGACACTTCCTACAGTGATGTAAGGGGTTGCTAGGCTGATAAAAGTGTTCTTCTGTCCATCTAGCCGAGTCCACACTGAGGGTTAGGTCGGCATGACTACAGCACTCAAGGATGTGAATTTTTCACATCCCTGAGTGTCAGAGCTGTGTCGACCTAACTTAAGCATAGGACAGGCCTGAGTCCTGGGGAAGGGACATAACCAATGATAGCAAAAGTTACTGACAGTTGTTGCTCAAGTAGGAAAGTCCTAATAGTTCCACTTAGTGTGAGATGCATTCTGCCTGTGCCAAAGGATTATGGTTTATTTAACCAGGTGTTAAATAGGTGTCAAATTAAGATCTGATTGTTCATTACAAGGGAATCCAAACAGGAATCTAGAAAGAATGAAGTGCACTGAACGTAATTTTTGTTATAGTAAACTGCCTTTTCTCTTTATCACCTTATCACTTAACTGGAATGTCACATCAACCACAAAGGTGTCCAAGCATGATAATTTTACTACATCATAAGATAGTTTCTCTTTAGAATTCTGAATGGTTTAAAGACGTCTAAATGCATAATTCTGTTTGCCGAGGCCTCATCTACACTATGAAACCAACCCATAATAAGTATGACTGATGGAAACAGTTGTTAAACCAGGATATAACAATGGTTAGGTGAAACAGTGCTAAACACAGTTGGTCCTTGTTCAACAAATGGACCATGTTCAGCACGCTCTCTTCTGCGTCTGTTAACAACTGTTGTTAACATTACTATTGGGTAGTGTTGAAAAGGCCCCCATTCACAAAAAAGTGAATGGAATGTAAACAAATGCAATGAAGTTTGTGGGCAGTTTGAAACAACGGCACTCTGACAATGGCGTTAACTGGTATTATTCACTTCAAAGGGGTGATAGTGAAACCTAGTAACAGTTGAGGTTGTAAGTGATTTCACTAACTGATCTAAGCATGCTATAAAGGAGAGGAATTCTTATATTAACAACAGCTGCACAATCTAGTGTAAGAAGCAATGCATTTTGGCATCGGGGTGGGCAAAATCTGCACTGAGCTTCGTAGAGTACTACCACTCCCCTTACCCAGTTCAGCCTTTGGGAAGGAAGGGGAAGAATGACCA